GGGCGGCTGTACTGAATATTATTAATATTCGCAAAATATGTCATTGTAAGGGAGAGGTGCTGTTGAACTCTAATCGGACAAGGGGGTGCAAATATCAAGAAATATTGCCCAGGTCCGGAATAAAAATCCCCATAAAGTTAGAGTTACGTGGTAGTTTTGTATGGTATCGTATGGTCGGCCTCGTCCGACTGCTCCGCTCTCTGGTTTATTTATTCTTAAGGACCTAGTCGATGGGGCTGCAATTTGCATCAAGTATCCTCGTAATTTTCAATAGAGATCTTCGGGTTCTTGGGTATCAATATAGGTCCATGGGCATGTATAGTCCCCATAAAATGAGAATTTCAAATATGTTTCTCAACCAAGTTGGATCTGTGTTGACTTCCAGTGGATGACAAATCTTTTCAGCCAAAAAAATTACAATTAAATCTCGTATAGATCCCTTATTAAGTTCCAGTCCCTTTATAGACATATATATGACATTCCGTGATATTTGCTGGTAAACTAGATATCTCGTTATTTTACATATGTTCAAGGTCCTAGCTCAATTCTCGACCCAGATAGTATGGGGATTGGTTTTTCTTTTTCTCCTGCCTGCAACTTAACATTTTATAGCCCATCCATATCAAATCCCCCTCGATTTAAGGTGTTTTGAATACCTTCTGTGTTCTAACCCGCCAAAGTTAACGAAATGTTTACTAAGATTTTTAATAGTTTTTGGTTCCTTATGGCGAAGAATATGAAAATATCTGTCGTACCGAATTTAATGACACTGTTACTTGTTGCAATTTCTCATTCAATACCCCTTTACCTGAGTATGTAATTTTTCTGACATATGATTGATTATTGGTTTTTTATTTATTACCTATTTGTTTCCCTCAATTAAATACAAAACCAACGCTTGACGAAGTGTTCTAGGAGAAATAAAAAACATATTCTATAACTGACATTTGACATTTCATTGCCAATTAAATACAGAATTTCATTGATCTAACAGACGTCACACCGCAACGAATTGAATTTTAATGGCGATTACAATCAGATGGTTTGTTGATATGTAAGGTGTAATTAAATTAGTTGACATGCAATCGATTCGATATTTGTAAGGTTTCCGCCAAGACGAAATATACACACACAACAAATTTCTCTTAGTTGATTTCTCTATGTACACCTACACGATGGGGTTTACTCTTTTTTTTTTTTTTTTTTTGTTCGGCAATTTAGAGTCATAAAAAAATTATTCCATTTTTTGACAATAACACAGTCGGGAAAATTTATTGATCAGCATTTTTTAATGAACAAAAATTTTCGCAAGAGCTACAACAGGTACCATGGTTGTGGCCGGAGGACCGGAGGAATGGATTTCATCCGAAATAGTTATCTCTCTTGTATAGGAATTTCGATAACCTTCTTTATACGGGGCCTCCTTAAAGTCCAACTCTCATAACTACGTCACTGTTATCCCACACTCAAAGCTCTAAGCCCACCACCTTCTGCATCGAAATCCACTTTAAATTTAAAGAAAAAAACTTCACTTTAATTTGTGTACCAATAACGTAAATTATGCAAATTTTTATTGTAACCATTAAAGTGTTTCCCTGTAACAGCTAAGCAAACTCAAAGAGGAACCCCGATTTAAATAAAAAAACGAAAACTGCAAATAAAAAAAAAAACTTTGTTGATATATGCATGTATGTAGATTATTACTTTAGTCAGTCTTTTTTGGTGTGAGCAAAAATCCACCAGGCCGAGGGAAATCACAAAATTATTGTGCTTGCACTCACACATATCGCTTTTAAGGTGGTCTAGATTTTCTTCATATTTTGTTTATGCACCTACCTCTCTTTTTGGTTATTTATGAATATTTATTATGACTATATCTTCCAGCCGGCATGATGAAGATAATTGAACAAAGCATTACCACCATCAGCCGCCACTATACTAAGGTGATAAGACCAACGCCTATATTTGCTCTCAAATTTTTTTAGTTATGATTTTAGAAATACAGCTTATTTAAGTGGGGTAGATCAAAGAAATATCGCATGAGTGTAATAACAGTGTGGATAATTTAAATAGGTGCAGTAAAGTCAAATAAAAGTTATTAACAAAAAGTAAGTTAGTTATTAACAAAAAGCATTGTTAAGTTCGGCAGAGGCGACATTTTATATACTCTTCAACATGTAGTGGACAATCAAAATATCGATCGCGACATTTTTAGACGAAGTCCTGTACCGAAAATGATACACGACGTATTCATGGGGGATATATTGACACTTTTTAGGGGAGTTATGTCCAAAGATCGGTTGGAAAATTATGCCTAGTACCATGAAAATACTTATAAAGCGACTATACCTCTATATGGGCACTATACCCAAAGATCGATCAATATTTATAATTTTTGGTGGGAGAATTCAACTACCCATGACAACCAAAAATATCAAATTACAGTCAAATCGTTTGAAAAAAAAAAAAATAATCAAAACAATTGAGGGTTTCCTTATATGGAAGGCTGCACCAACACTTGGGCAACATTGATAATTTTTGGATGATTTTCTACCCATGCACTATAGGTCAAACAGACAATTTTACTGGCCAAAAGTCGAATTACACACATTGTCTGTCTTATCACTTCTTTTGTTTGGCGTTGGCAACGTTTGGCAATTGAAATAAAAATTGATATTTGTTTATTGAACCGTCCCTAATCTAAATAACCTAATGCTGTTTTGCGGATTTGTGTAGGTTTTGTAATTATTACCATTTTGGTATTATAAACCATTTACCGAAATACTAATTAATTTGAATCTGAAATAACTGGAGTAGAGGTAAATCTTGTATTCAAAATTATTTTAATTTCATTATTATGTCAGTTTTCATTAGATTTAAACATATTTCGAACTTATTGTTCTTGGCAGTCCATGACTGCTAATGTCCATAAGGTACAAATTCATTCGACGCAGATAATGGAAAATTGTGTACTTACATTAGGGGTTCTTGGAGAAGATGCTGCTGAAGCTAGGCATATATTGTATAAGGCCGACAGGTTACATCACGTCCGTAAGAGCAGCCGAATGAATAACATCTTAGATATATTTACTAGAGCCTTGGATACATTCGATCCTTTAATATCATCAATTAGCTTAATCAAACGCATGCAGCATCGAAAACGTTAAAGCTTGAAATGATAGAAATATTAAAATGTCAACATTCTATTGATGAATTAGAATCTCTAAAACAGTAGAATTTAAATAAAACTATTAAAGATGAATATAGATCACATGATGAAAGCAAGGAGTTCAATAAAGACGGACTACAACGTATATAAATATTCTTAATGACTTAGATTTAGAAAATGAAACGGACTTCATTTAAATAATATATGTAATCACAGACGTAGCAAAGTGGATGGGTGTCCCGAATTGTTTTTGTTTTCATTAACTTTTGTCATGCAACAGAAAAATTGTAATTTGTTCATAAACACCAAATATCCCTGCAAGCATTTTTAATCGCCTAAGTAACTAAAAAGTCTCATGAATTCGGTCATAAGAAAGCGATTGTCTGCGACAATCGCTATCTTATCGAAAATGATAAAGTTCACGGGAAGAGTTGAAAATGCTTGCAGGGATATTCGTAGGATTTGTCTCTTCTTCGAAGATCTTCTCGGTCGATCAGGCACATACGCATATATACGTGCTTCACGAATGTCTTTCGAAGCATCCGATCGTATTCACTCTCTATATCTTTGCACCAATCGACACGAGCCTTTTTTAGTGATTGTCAAATTGTACGGGATTCGACGATTAAAAGTTGATTTTACGGCTATGGATTTCTCAATTTCTCGAAAATATGTATCTGCTTCTGTGATCTCCTCTTCATTCGAAGAAAATTTCTTTCTGACATGCTATCATTTGTCACAATTTAAAAAAAAAATTAAACTTTTCATTAACATCAAAATGACGTTCGTATTTTGATCGACTTTACCTCTATTTGCGCTCATATGTTCTTTTCTCTCTCTCTTTGACAACAACAAATGTATTATTCCCAACAAAAAATACCACCACTACACATTATACAACAGTGTTTTGTTTTGGTATTGTCCTCCGTCTCTCCCTTTACTTGCAGTCGTTTAACTACTGTTTATTTTGCAAAAAAACAATCACTCGAATTTTTGGATAGTTTTGCATTCCATTGTTTCTTTATTTTAGACACTGTTTCTGACCTCTGCAAAATTCGCATATGTATTTTCCAAATTATTTTGATATAAATCCTAAATAAAATATATATAAAACAAGTGTTTATACGAGTAACAAGCCCAACCGAATGTTTAACTTTGTATATGATCGCTCAATGCCGCAAGACAAGAACATGTTAGGTAGACGAGAATTGACGAAGAAGAAATCAAAAAAAATATATAAAACGACGCGTCCTTGTGTCATAGAAAGCAGCATTTAATGTTTTATGAAATGCATTGATATAATGCAGAAATGCGGACATTGGCAGTTAATTCTGTTAATGAATGGGATGATCTATATGAACAATTGGATGGAAACATCTAGGCGAACCAGAGCAAAAACTGAACGATTGGAGCGAAAGAGGAAGTGAACCTGGCCTAGTCCCATCGTCCCTTTTGCAGAATAGTTAATTTGAACTAGTTCGTTCTTAAACGGCTCAAACCATCACTCTTTGTACCAGCTAAAATGGGATATAGATGAGACCCTTACCATCCATTGACTTTTTTATTCTCGCACATTAAGAAAAAATGTGTGTTCAATGACTTTGGTCACCATAAGATGTTGAAGCGTTTAATTGAGGAACGTAGAAAAGTCTATTTTATATTGGTCCATTACAATTTGTTTGTTTGGCGACGAATAGGTACAGCATGACACAACATTGTTCCAGAAGCTCTCACAACATTGTTCCAGAAGCTCCATATTTTCCTATTCACCACGCAAAGAAACTAGGTATTCGTTTAATTCCATAGTTCGTTGTAGTTCAATTGTTCATGGATGCACGTAAATGAACGGAAAGATGTAAGTGAAGAAGGTTTTTAGGTTAATGAAAGCAACAAATTAACGACTGAAGCAAAATTATCTAAATGAACGAAAGGACCAGATGCTTTTGCAGAATAGTTCATTTTAACTATTTCCGGAATGATTAAATTCTATATCACCATATCGTTTCCAACTAGCTCTTTTTGCCCGGCAATAACGTTGAAATGATGAATCATCTACCGTACAGCTCTGACCCCTTAGCACCCAATGACTTCAAGTGGGTACTACTTCACTTGATCCATATAGGACGATCAATTCTGACTACTAAACTACAATTTGAATTTCTACTACATTCCTGAATCAATTCGATGTTCGTCGGTTCGCTTTCCCAAAAGAAACTAGGTATTTCATTTAGTTTCATATGTTGTTGTTACACGGCAGTTAATTCGCAATGATCGGGAAGGTCTGGATGACTGGTACAAAATCAACTGCAGTCTATAACGGAACCGACGAAATTGGTCGTCATGAACGATAGTATTTTCATTTTATATATTAAATAAGAGGTTGAAATGTTTTCGGAACTTCTATATACGACATATCGCTAAAATGTTGACTGTCTATGAACGAATTGGCCGAAACTAGTGCCGATCGTTCCTTTTTTCGGAATAGTTGATTTGAACTAGTTCGTTCCGGAACTATTCAACTCTAGCATATCTACATCGGCTCATACCAGCGCGTTTTTGACCAGCCAACCGTCCGATTTATGGAACATCTGCCGTATAGACCTGACACCTTGGCACCTTCCCTCGCATACTGATTGATCAATGTAGTAAACTATGAACTAGATGAAGTAACTAGTTCAATCAAAAGATCAGAAATGCAAGGAGCGTTCTTTTTTAAATGAACTAATATTTACAACACTATCAGAAATATATAAAATAAAGCCCTCGAATCTACAACATGTGTCTAGATGTAATATGACTAACTCACTTGACATCTACGATGTTTTTAAACATCAATTTTTCTAAATCTGCTCAACATATGTACATATATATTTATGTTAATGATTCTGCCAACCCAAACAGATTCATTTTAATTGTCTGAATTTCAATAACATAAACAACAATTTGTTCTTTCATTTTTTTTTCTGAAAAAAAAAAAAATCAAAACTGAACACTTGGTAAAACTATCAAAAATCTATACAAAAGCTACAGATAGGCATCTGTTGTAAAAAATTTACAAAAGAACACAAATATGTATGTCACATTTTTAAGAATAAAAAAAATAACAATAATAAAAATTAATCTCAAAGCAGACATAAAAGGCTGTCTCACTGGTTGCCTGTCTGGCAAACCCATCATGACATTAAAATTAATGAATGCGTACGTACGTGTGTGTGTTTGTTTGTCTGTGTGATTCTGCATTCTATATACGACCTAATTTATATATCTGTATTTAACATACATATGTGTATAAATGTCACTTATTGTCATTAATGTTTGTCACAATTGTTTATTGTGTGTGTGTTGTTTTTGTTCTCCTTCTTCTTTTGATGACTTAAACCCTTATTTCATAAAAATTGCAGAGTCATGTTCATTGCTTTTTACAGTTTTCAATTAGAATTTATTTTATCATCTCGTTTCTATTTTTATCATTTCATTAATTTTTTTACTTATTTTGGTTTTTTGCAGAGATGGCAAAGAAGGTGGTTCGTTCTTTATGATGATGGTGAACTAACATATTCTGTGGATGAACATGTAAGTAGATACAATATTTTTTTTTTTATATTGGGTGTAAGGTTGAAAAATGCCATGGCAAAAATGTTTTTAAAACAGTAAGGAAAGTAGTAAAGTCGAACTGGGCCGACTATATGATACCCTTCACCACTATGGGTATATTCTATATATGTATCCTAACAGATGTCGCCTTTTCAAAGGAATACTAATTTCATTCAAGACTCAGTTCAGTACCCTATGCAAAATTTCGTGCAAATCGAATGATATATAGGGACTTTGGTGCACCATTTACATAAAATCGACGAAAATGCACACATCATTCTCCACCTAATTCAGTTCGCTGTGCCAATCTTCGTGCAAATCTAAAGATATATAGGAACTTTGGTGCATCATTTACATAAAATCGGACGAAACTATATATGCGAGCTATATCTAAATCTGATTCAGTACCCTATGCCAAATTTCGTGTTAATCGAAAGACATATAGTGTCCCATTTACCTTAAATCTGATGAAAATATATATGGGAGCTATATCTAAAGCTGAACCTATTTTCTCGAAACTTAACACACACCATTCAAGACTCAGTTCCGTACCCTATGCAAAATTTCGTGCCAATCGAATTATATATAGGGGCTTTGGAGCACCATTTATATAAAATCGGACGAAATTATATACGGGAGCTATACCAAATCTGAACCGATTTTTACGACACTTTGCACACATCATTCTCCACCTTATTCAGTACCCTATGCCAATTTTCGTGCAAATCGAAAGATATATAGGGACTTTGGTGCATCATTTACATAAAATCTGACGAAACTATATATGAGAGCAATATCTAAATCTTAACCTATTTTATCGAAACTTATCACACGCTGTTCAAGACTCAATTCAAATTTCGTGCAAGTCGAAAGATATAAAGGGACTTTGGTGCCCCATTTACCTTAAATCGGACGAAAATATATATGGCAGTTATATCTAACTCTGACCAGATTTTTTCGAAACTTAACACACATCATTCAAGGCTCAGTTCAGTACTCTATACAAAATTTCGTTCAAATCGCATGATATAGGGACATTGGTGCACCATTTTCATAAAATCGGAAGAAATTATATACGAGAGCTATATCAAAATCTGAACCGATTTTTACGAAACTTTGCACACATCATTCTCCACCTAATTCAGTACCCTATGCCAATTTTCGTGTAAATCGAAAGACATATAGTGCCCCACTTACCTTAAATCGGCGAAAATATCTGTGGGAGACTGAATCTGAATCTATTTTCTCGAAACTTAACACACGCCATTCAGTACCCTATGCCAAATTTCGTGTAAATCGAAGGACATATATGGACATTGGTGCCCCATTTATCTTAAATTGGACAAAAATATATATGGGAACTATATCTTAATCTGGCCCGATTTTTTCGAAACTTGACACACATCATTCTGGACCTAATTCAGCACCCTATGCCAAATTTCGTGTAAATCGAAGGACATATAGGGACATTGGTGCCTCATTTATCTTAAATTGGACGAAAGATATATAGGGACTTTGGTGCACCATTTACATAAAATCGGACGAAAATATATATGGGAGCTATATCTATATCTGACCCGATTTTCAATTTTAATAGGGTTCGTCCTTGTGCCACATAAGTGACTTGTGCCAAATTTCATCCAAATCGGATCATAAATTCGACCTGTACTTTGGTTACAATTTAACATCTGCAGACGCACAGACGGACGGACGGACATGCATAAATCGACTCGGAAAGTGATTATATGCATATTCTCAAAAGGAATTATGGGTCTATATCGTTTCCTTTTGTCTGTTACAAAGACATAAAAATTGGCTCCTTTGATAGCTCTTCAAAAATTTTTTTCATTGCATGTTATCTTTGTAGAACATTGGAAGGTGGTCTTCTGCATAGACCAGCCCGAAGGTGGACTTCCTATAGACCAGCCCGAAGGTGGTCTTCTTATAGACAAGCCGTGGTAGTGGTATTATTTCAACAGCCGTGAAAGTAATATTTATTAGGAATCTGAAGACCAGCCTGAAGATGTTATTCTTTATAGACCAGACTGAAGGTGGTTTCCTTATAGAACATCTCTATTTATCTTCTTCTTTATAGACCAGTTGAAGATGATCTTTCATACAAATCAGCCATGAAATTGGTTCTTATAGACCAGTCATGAAATTGGTCTTTATAAGGCAGCTGTACGTAGACTCTTTGTGATCTAGGTACACCTGTAAATATTTTAGTTTTGCTATCCCCCGCCAAACCTTACACATTCCAACCCCCAATATTTAATTGCAATATACCGTTTTTTATGTCTGCTGCAACATCTCCTACAAAATTATTGATGTCGTCTGTGCAGTTTTTTTTTTTTTATTATTTTTTTGCCATAACCATAAAATTAAATTGACGACACTCTAACCCCCAACCAACCCCAGCCAGAAATAAATTAGAATTTATTATAAAAAAATAAGTCTAGACACATTTAATGAAAATTGTAATGACATTTAACACACAAGCAATTTAATGTTAACTAGATGGGAAATTTATGGCAACAACAAAATAAAACTATTAAAAATAACTACTTAATTTTAATGATAATGTAATAAAATCAAATTATAATGGGCTTTTGAGACTAACAGTTAGAGATCAAATATTTAAGATGGATGTATTTCTTAAAAATAAAAAAAAAAATATTTAAAATAAATAAGAAAGGTAAAAATTTTAATGGATGGTTCGATATCGAAACGAAGGCTAGATGCGAAAAAATTAAAATGAAAATACAATTGAGTGGTCTCGCCATGAATCCTCGTAGAAGTCTGTTTCTCGGATTCGTACCCTTTTAACAAATCCGAAAAATAGACTTCACGTCACTTTCCAAAAAAATCGAAATCGATTGATTTTCAGACAATATTTGCCAAAAATATATTGTAAACCACTGAAAACCATAACTATTAAATTGAAGACACTTTTAATGGACATTTTCTAAAATCCTCAAAATATATGAAGCTATAGGCACCGTTATATGCGCACAATATCTATTGTTTTGGAAACAAATCTATAGCCAATTCGATTTTAATATGGAAAATTTAATGATACCGTCCTTTTGTATGTAGCCAAAATAATGTAAGATATCATACATTCGGTTCCGTTCATCAATATCGGCCTCACAGTAAGCATTCTTTTGAGATTTGAGAACAAGAAAAGAAGACCCTACATATTGTTCGATTTTCACGAAATTTGACATAGCGTACTGAATCTAGAATGTGTGCTATGGCACAGGGTACTGAATTATGCCTAGAATGGTGTGTGCTAAGTTTCGTAAAAATCGGTTAAAATTTAGATATAGCTCCCATATATATTTTCGTCCGATTTAAGGTAAATTGTGCACCAAAGTCCCTAAATATTTTTCGATATGCACGAAATTTGGCTCAGCGTACTGCATGGAGCCTAGAATGGTGCAAATGCAGCCATAGCTTCCATATGTATTTCGAACGGGTTTCTGATTGAAATAAAATTTTTAACAATGCGACGTACCGAATATCTTGTATCAATTTTGCTATAAATTGTTTTCCATAAATTTGTCCCATGGTACGCAGACTACTCTAAATCTGCAGACATACTCATGTCATCTGCAGAAAGACATGAGTATGTTCCTTCGAGGGAAGATTGACATACAATTGTATGGATATATATGTACAATATACCCAAAGTGGTGAAGGGTTTCTTATAGTCGGCCCAGTCCGACTTTACTACTTTCCGTACTGGTTTTGTATCTTGAGTTCTCAATTGGTAGATAATCTCCCAATATTGGTTCACTTTTCCCGATAGCCTCCATATAATGGAGCCACCTAAGTTTCGGGTTTTCACGTTTTTCAATCAAATTGGATCTAATTATACATTTTAGGCTTACATTAGACAGCAAAGCTTCCTACCTAACATTATTGATTATCAATATTGGTCAACTTTTTAGAGTAGCCTCCTTCTATATTTTGGGGAGTTATGTTTATGTTTTGGGTTATCTTCGGGTGGCAGTCAAAATGGCTCTAATTTAATATTTTGGTTTCTCAGTGGCTGGAAAATCATTCAATTTTAAAAATATCGATAGATCATTGGATATAGGTCCCATACATAGGACCGATGTTACTATATCTAAACATTATAAAATAACAGTAATGTTCAAGGTCCTAGGTGGTCAATTTTATCACTTGGCATTCTATTTTCTCTAATGGTTGTAGTTTGGCTCTGACCTTGATGGGTAAACAGATTCTTTACAGGATAGTTCTTCATACTATTTCAATTTTCCCACTTGAGTGCCTCTTTTTTTTTTTTTTGAAATTCTTGTCTCTCAGCCATTTTGGATATAATTTGATATTCTCAGTAGATAGCAATTCGTCTTACCAACAATAATAAATATGGGTTAATCTTGGGATATAGTCCCCACATATGGATCCCGTCTCTTATAGGTACTTTGATAGCCCTTGGCGAATTTCCCAACCGAAGTGATTACATTTTATTATTACAAAATGATTGACATTCCAGGATCTTGGTGGACTACAAATTTGTTTAACGACATCTCATACAATGGTAACGCATTATATCCGACATTTTCTAGATTTTAGCCCACCAATTTTCCAACCTGAGTGTCAGTAGTTTTCGTATTTCGTTTTCTTCTGCCAGCAATGAACAATGACGTAGCTCCCGAAAAAAAATCCTGATCAATTTTAGGTTCACCTATTGGTAGAAGGTAAAAAAAGTTTGGTCCGGCCGGCGATTTTTTTTCAGACATGTATTTTATTTATACGGTCTCTAACACGATATGTAAAGTTGTCATTGGGCGGCAATTTTCCTACTACTGAAGGCATAGCCATACAATTACTTTTCAGAACATTTTCAAGATAAATCCATGTCTATACATAACCCTTTTATTTTTATACCCTTCACCAAACGGCGGTACAGAGTATTATGTCTTTGTGTATATGTTTGTAACACGCAAAAA